GGAGGAGCTTGAATGTTGCACTTAAGACCTGGCTAAGCTAAATACATAAATAAATATTTTTTAAAAAAAGAAATGAGAAAAGCGACGTTATAACTGATACTAAATACAAAGAATTATGAGGCTACTATGAACAATTATATTTCAACAAACTGGACAACCTAGAAACAAACTAATTCCTAGAAACATACAACCTACCACATCTGTATCACGAAGAAATAGAAAATGTGAACAGACCAATGACAAGTAAGGGAAATGAATCAGTAATTAAAAACCTCTCAAGAAATAAAAGCTGAGGACTAGCTTGTTTCACTAGTGAATTCTATGAAACATTTAAAGAAAAATTCACACCAATCTTTTGAAAACTTTTCCCAAAAAATACAAGACCAGAGAACTGTTCAATATTCATTTTATAATCCGGCATCACCTGATACCTAAACCAGAAAAAGATGTTGTAAGAAAAGAAAATGACATGCCAATATCTCTGCTGAACACAGAGGAAAAGTTCTCAACAAAATGTTAGCAAACTAAATTCAACAACACATTAAAAGGACCATTTGCCATGATCAAGTGGGGTTTATTCTAGGGATGCAAGGATGGTTTAACACCTGTATTGATGGTTGAAATCAGTCTGTGTGAAACACCACGTGAACAAAATGAAGGAAAAAAGCTATATAATCATCTCAATAGTGCAGAAGAAACATTTGACAGAATAACATCCCCTTACTAAAAAACAAAACAAAACAAAACAAACTCTCAATAAAGCAGAGAGGGAAATGGAAAGATAGTCTGCTCTCATGGATTTAGTGAACTAATATTGTTAAAATGTTCCTACTACCCAAAGCAATTTACAGATTCAATGCAATCCCTACAAAAATTCCAGTGGTATTTTTCACAGAAACAGAGTAGAGAATTCTAAAATTTGTATGAAACTGCACTGGGGCCTTTTAAGACCCCAAACGTGGTGGGGTCTGTAAATGTGTGAAAATGTGGTATACATGCAACTGACCCTTTAACAATGCAGGGGTTAGGGGCACTGACCATCTGCATGGTCAAAAAACCATGTTTAACCCAAGAGTCGGCCTTTTGTACCTGCGGAGCCTGTGTGTCCCTCATTCTGTACCTGTAGATTCAGCCAATGGTGACGATGCAGTACTGTAGTACTTACAATTGTAAAAATTCCATGCATAGGTGGACCTGTGCAGTTTAAACCTGTGCTGTTCAAGGGCCAACTGTACACACACACACTAATACACTCAGCCATAAAAAAGAAGAAAATCCTGCCATTTGTGACCACACTAATGGACCTTGAGGCCATTATGCTTAGTGAAATGACTGAGAGAAAGACAAGCACTGCACAATCGCACTTACATATGGAATCTAAAAAAAAAAGCCAAACTCATAGATATAGGGAACAGATTTGGTGGTTGCCTGTGGTAGGGTTTGGGGGTGGGTGAAACAGTCAAAAGGGGGTCAAAAAGTGTAAACGTCCAGTTTAAGATGATAAACATGTCCTGGGGATATAAAGCATGGTACGGTTAGTAATACTCCACTGTATATTTACATGCATGCTCAGTTGTGTCCGACTCTTTGCAAGCCCATGGACTGTAGCCCACCAGGCTCCTTTGTCCATGGGGATTCTCCAGGTAGGAATACTGGAGTGGATTCCTCCTCTAGGGCATGCCTTCCTCCAGGAGATCTTCCTGACCCAGGGATCAAACCCACGCCTCTTAAGTCTCCTGCACTGGCAGGCGGGTTCTTTACCACTAATGCCACCTGGAAAGCCCCACTTGCTAGGAGTTAGATTCTCCCGTGGGAGGAGACAGGGAGGATGGAGGCTCAGGACTTGTGGGCCCTATTTCCTCTGACACCATCAGGTCTTCTTCTATGGCTGGAAAAAGGGTCAGGAATCCAAACCCAGCCCCCTTCCTGCATGTGGGGAGTGGCGCCCTGCTCGGGTGGCATGGAAGCCTGTGTTCTCCCAGGACAGACAAGGCGGCTTTGCTCTAGGTGAGGGGCCTGGTGATCTCTGCCCGACTTCGGCACGGCCCCCGAGGCACCACGGTGACAATCCCGCCCCTCTCGGGGTGCAGTGTAGACCAAGAGAAAGCACGCTGACTCGCTCAGCCTCAGCTCTGGCATGCAGCATTCCAGCCCCAAGAGCTTCCTGCCTGGCAACGTGTGTTTCAGCTTCTTCCACAGCCTCAGGGTGAAGCCACGTGGAAGGTTTCCCATCTTCACAACGCACGCTCCGTGCCATGACTTACCTCATCGTTCTCCTCGGCTGTGTCTGCCACAAGAGCTCTACACCACCCGTGTGATTTTAAAGGAGGGGGTGGGTAACATCGAGACACAGACTTCTCAGGGAGAACTGACCTCAGCAGAGCGAGATGGCCAAGAAGCACGGGCAGTGAATCCAGGGGGTGCGAGGCCATCGGGATGTGTGAACTTATTCATCATCATTATTATTTTTTCTAAGCAAAGGATTTCCTCAGTCAAACCTCCAGGGCATCAGATCAAAGAGAGAGGCTGACACAGCTGGACCGCATTTTCTAGCCAACTGGCCGGTGGAGCAGAATCTAGACAGTGTCCTGGCAACTGTTTGACACGGCAGCAATCCATGGCGGAGGGGAGAGGAACTCTGGAGACTGACTCTTTATTCAAAAAGTCTTGTATCGCTTCTTCACTTCTCTTTCTGCTTAAGACAGTTTGGAAGCAATGTCCAAGCCCCAGGGGACTGTCCCGGGTGGGCACTGTGGAAGAAGCACTGACCCTGAGAATCCAGAGCATTCTTCTACACACAGAAACTACAGCTTTTAGTCCATAGTGCAGGTTCGTTTTTTTTTTTAAGACTATATAGTATTAATTATCATAAAAAGTACATCCCAAACCTACTGGCAGAGTATCTGATTGATTTCTTCTATTTGATGTGAGTCACTATAAACCTTACCAGGACACTGTAAAATCATGCCAGAGTGGGTAGTTTATAAACAAAATAACAACAGGGGAAATTTAGCTACATGCCCTGGAAGTTCTTCCAAAATGTACAAAAAGAAATGACAAAAGTGACTATTAACATACAAGGAGGACAAAGAAAAAAAGCCACAGAACCCAAACCCTGCTATGTCACAAGCGAGCAATACACACCGGAACCAGGTGAGATGAGAAAGCAGAGAGCAAACCAAGGATTCAGTGAATCACAGAGAAACAGGACGTGAAATGATTGTGTGGAAGGGGGAAAAAAAAAAGTGAAGGCAAACAGAACACATTTCTGTAACAGAGTTCAGGAAAGCTGTTCTCACCGTTCTGAACAAAATGGCTGCACTAAGAGCACGTGGGGTCTACGCCCAGATGCCCTCCTCCTCATCCTACGGGGAGGACGCAGGGCCCAGAGCAGCGTGGGGACGAAAAAGAGCTGGTTAGTACTCAAGACAGAGACACACGCGCGATGTAGCCACAGAGAACGGTCTCTCGGCTCCCGACCCCCCACACCAAGCGCTGACTTGTCCTCACTTTGTCCCCGCACTTCCAACCTCCCCACTTCCTTGACACGCTCTTGTCTATTGGGCAATACGACCAAGCTGAAGGCTTTTCTTTATTCTTCCTCAACCCCTCGCCATTCGTGTTTGCCTCCCGCTCCTCCCAGGCATCCAATCCTGGTATTTACTGGCAAAACCTGTTTCAAAGGAAGGCTGTGATCCTCACCCTACGTGTGTGCTCAGCTGCTCAATAGCGTCAGACTCTGTGCGACCCCGTGGACTCTAGCCCGCCAGGCTCCCCTGTCCATGGGGTTTCCCAGGCAAGAATACTGGAGTGGGTTGCCATGCCCTCCTCCAGGGGATCTTCCTAACCCAGGGATCAAACCCGAATCTCCTGCATTGCAGGCGGGTTCTTTACCACTGAGCCACCGGGGGAGCCCCCTAAAATCCTCATCCTACATAAATTGGCATAAACTTAGTTCCAGGTATCAAGAAACAGTCAGAGAAAAGCAAATGGCTTCTTGGCAAGGACAGATTGCTGCCACTGGGCAGGCAGTTCTCTGCTTTGCCTACATTAAAGATTGCACTTTTTCCCTCTAAAGTGTAAGCCGCCTCTACGGGCTTAGTGAATGTCATCATACAATGATTATAACCTTCTAAACCTTAGGGAAAAAAACGCATTTTCGATATTATTGTGCTTTCATGTGCAATGTTTCTTCTTTGTCTCCTAAGTCGGAGCTATGCTATCATCTAGAGGAGGGGCTTAGTGGGGGAGTTCCTCTGGACTCTTCGATCATATGGATGTAATTACTTAACTATTATTTTTCTCCCTCAGCTGTATATGTTAAGATTGAGTGTGATGGAGATGTTGAAATCTGATTTTTGGCAATGGGATATGAGGTAATCTGTTCACTACTCTCTCCCATCCATCATACTCAAGATCTTGGGAGAGTTCCCTTCTTCCAGAAGAACTGACGCTGGATATGGCTCCCTTCAGGCTGACTCAGTGCCTCCTTTGCACTCATGAGGAGCTGAAGGCAACAGTTTAAGAAGGACATAGATGGAGAGGTCCACCAAGGAGCCAGGAACGAAGAAACTAAGTTTCAACCTTCCTGTTTAACAGGTGATGAGCAGAGATTTTCAAACCTGCAGTTACATATTGATTACTGCTACATTGAGTTGTGTGTGCCTCACTGAGCTTACATGGAAAGTTTTCTTTTTCTACTGAAGCAGGACACATACAAATTAGTGAGTTTCTCTGAGAATATTAATTTTTTTTCTCATCTCAATTTAAGGATTCTTTAGTGTTCCTTTCAAACCTGTTGGGTAACTCCTCTGAAAATACTCAGCATCAGGCACCATCTACCTATACAAAATGGACTCCGTATTTAGAAAAAAAAGTTTTCAGAAACTGATTATTTTTATTTGTCTAACTTGTACCCCAGAGTCTATAACACGCTACTACAAAATACATCAAAACAAAAGCACGCTGGTTTTTTAGAAGACAACTGAAAGCAGCCTTACCTGGTCTGGGGAGGGTTTGTGATTGGTTTGACCGGAATGGGAGGATCTGAAGTGGTCATCCTCGTAATTGTCGGCCATTAACTTCATTCGATTTTGTGTCTAGGAGGAAACGATTCACAAGGTCAAGCTCAGGCAGAATCTCTAGGACACACTGTACAGTGACAAGCACCTTAAAAATGTATCGAGAAAGGGTCTAACGAATCCTGTCTGAAATGAGTTAAACATAGGATTTCTGAGGATACCAGGTGGTGACGGGGGGAAGCTCAGGCACTGCCACACACTGAACTGTGCCCCCTCAAAACCCATGCTGAGGTCATAAGCCTCACACGCCTCCACACATATGGAGGTAGTCTTCGGGAGGTGATTAGGGTGAAGTGAGGTCATCAGGGTGGGGCCCTGATCTGATGGGACTGTGGCCTTCTATGAAGGAGGAAGGACACAGTGGGGAGGGGGCTTCTGAGAGCCAGGAGGAGGGCTCTCATGGGAACTGGGTCAGCTGGCACCTTGACCTTGGATTTCCCAGCCTCCAGATGGGTAAGAAAGCAAATTTCTGCTGTTGAAGTGACTCAGTCTGCGGTATTCTGTTACAGCAGCCCAAGCAGGCCACGACAGGTGCCTGAACTGGACGGAATTCTGGACAGAAGAGTAATTTCCTTAAATTGAGCACTTTATGCGGTGTCTGTTTTTATTTTTTAAAATAAAGAGTGGATGACACCACACTTGGGAGAGAACGCTGTGACCCTATTTTTTCACTTCGTGCTGGGCAGGACCCATCTTGCCAGGTTACTGTGAGAGTTACTCATCCTTTTTAACAACTATTCCATTTGGGGGAGATGTTATTTAACACACAGACCATAAATACCGGAGGAAAAGTTATCCTTATCTGTAAATGAAATGATTATATACCGAGAAAAATCCAGAGAATCATCTGAAAAATGATTACAACTTATGATAGAGTTCAGTAAGGTGATCGGACAGAAGCAACATATTAAAACTCAATGACATCACCATTTTCTTTATATCATCAATAAACAATTCAGACTTCGGAAATGAGTTGAAGATTCTGAAATCCTTTGCTTCAGTCCTAAGACTGGAAGAGGATTATTCTCTCATGGCCTCTGCTCCAAGTTCACCAGAATGGAGGAGCAGATTGGATTCTGTGTGGTTGGTTAACTTAAGCCCTAAGTGAATGTATGTGGGTACACACACACACACACACACATCTATAAAACATTTTAGAGAATCTACTTTGCAGAGCAAGCAATTTAGAAAATCCACAGAACCCTGTGCACATGATCAAACAGCAATATTGTTAAAAATCTGATGTTCTGAAAGCATTAAAAATACTTTTGCTAATGTTATATGATTCAAAAATGTTCATCGTAGATAATTTAAAACATACAGAGAAAAAAAATTACCCCTAAGCCCCTCTAACCAGTGATAATCATTGTTAGTATCTACATGAATCTGTTCAGTCTCTTTCCTATGAACAAAAATATGAACAAAAATTTCCTATGAACAAAAATGCTCTGATTTATTCTTTGCTTTTGTTATAATGCAGTATTTTAAAATTGTGATTATTGTGCAGTATATTTTGACCTCTGATGGGACATGGCCTTCTTCACCAATTCTACTTAGTCAAAATCTGATTGGGTATCTTTAAAACATTTTACTTTCTCAGTAAATGTAAGACATTTTGTCTAGTTCCATAAAAAAGCTTGCAGAGATTTTTCTTTGGTATTTTTTTCACATAGTGATGCCTAAGCAGGGGCTTTAGAGCCAAACGGCCCAGGCCTGGATTCTATTTCTGCTTTTAACCAGCCAGCTCAGCTGGGGCAAGCTGCTCACGTTCTCTGAGCCTCAGTTTCCTCTCCTTTAAAATGTGCACAGCAATACCTTCTCCCCATAAGACTGTTGTGAGGCTTAACCAACTGAGTTACTAACATAAGCTCTTACAAAGGCACCTGGCACAAAATCAATACCCAACTAATTTTAGCTATCCCCATTATTATGAACATTCCATGTCATTGAATATTATTCTAAAAATCTACTCTTGAGAGTCCCTTGGACTGTAAGGAGATCAAACCAGTCAATCCTAAAGGAAATCAACACTGAATATTCTCTGGAAGGACTGTGAATTCACTGGAAGGATGCTGAAGCTCCAATACTTTGCCCATCTGATGTGAAGAGCCAGTGCACCGGAAAAGACCCTGACGCTGGGAAAGACTGAGGGCAGGAGGAGAAGGGGACAGCAGAGAATGAGATGGCTGGATGGCATCAACAACTCAAAGGACATGAATCTGAACAAACTCCAGGAGATAGTGAAGGACAGGAAAGCCTGGCAAGCTGCGGTCCATGAGGCCCACAGAGAGTCAGACACGACTGAGCGACTGAACAACAACAAACTAATTTTAACCGGCTGCACGGTGTTCAGTTGAATGGATGCTTAATGAGCCCCATACTGTTGGGCACTTGGACTCTCCAGATTTTTACTGAATAACAATACAAACACATTTGTAGCCAATTCCTCCCTCCAGGATATAATGACAGCAGAGAAAATCCTTATCAAAAAATTGTCTGTGATATCAACTTTCTTTTCTGAGATGACTTAGAGTGACCTTGAAAACACGCAGGGGAACATTTCTCATGTCACGTGGTGCTGCGTGACCGAGGGAGAGCCTTCTGTAATGAGGGAGGGAAGAGCAAAGGGAAGGGGCACACCAGAAACACCTCCACGGCAACTTTAATAGGAACGTGCGGCAGCAGCACACTTGAACAGATATTATTTTAGAACGTGACACACAATCTCGAAGGCCTGATACCCAGTGCGAGTTTAGAAACTTAGAGAAGAACTGATAAAGCACATGCAAATCCCCTTTCAGGGCAGGATGTATCTCAAGTATCTCTGAGGCATGAGACTGAAAGCCTCCAAGAAGAACTGATCATAGGCGATAGATAAGACCAAAGGTTACTTATTTCATGTAAGCGAATGAAGAAGTAGATACAAGAACGTTTCCATCTCTAAAAGACCTGAAGTGTATCCAAGTTGAGCCAGGGTTCCCAGGCCTAAGATTCATTAATTTGGTGTGAAGTCTGTTCCCTGCTCAGACAGAGGCTGAACGCTAAGCACCCGACAGCTCACAGAGTAGTAGATGTTACACAGACCCTATAAACAACACTGTTCTCAAGGAGCTCTTGTACCGCTCTTCTTAAGATAAGCCAGCAAGCATGAAAGGTGCTTTATAGCCAAGTATCTTCCCTCCTGAACCATGCCACGTGCCTGTGCAGACAGCTGGACTCCCTTGGTCCCTGACATGAAGAGTAAGATTGTTTGAAGGAGTAAAGAGAGGGAATAAAAAAAGAAAAGATGGGAAGAAACTTGCTGAAATAAACTTTGTAAGCCATAAACGTGTACCTCTGTATATATAGTTATACATACCCTTCCAGGGAATTCCCTGGTAGCTCAGTCAGTAAAAAACCTGCCTGCAGTGAGGGAGGCCCGGGTTCGATCCCTGGGTTGGGAAGATTCCCTGGAGAAGGAAATGGCAACACACTCCAGTACTCTTGCCTGGAGAATCCCATGGACAGAGGAGCCTGGCGGGCTACAGCCCGTGGAGTCACAAGTCGGACACGACTGAGCGACTAAACCACCACCACCCTCCCAGAGGAAAAGGAGCTCCTCCTTTAGACGGCTAACCTTTTCTTCTGAGACTGAGATGTCAGGGCTAAGACACAGCAGTTCAGAAACAACACTTCACAGAAAAGTATGTTAGGCTCAGAAACAGTGTGTGTTGGTGATCCAAACCCAGGTACTAAAAAATGTTTGAATTCTGATCATTTATCTGATTGTTCACTTATCTTTGCTTTTTGGCTTGTGAGAATGCTATTAACCTACCTAAATGAGCCTTAGAAAGAATAATACTTAGAAATATTCTGAGATATTTTAGAAAACATATAAATAAAACTTAACCTTACTAATTAGGGTTATTTCCAGTTATAATTATCTTGAAGAAAGCAATAAAATGATTTCTGCCTACATTTGTTGAACCTTGGAAATCATTTTATTAATGTTATAATGAATTTCAGTTAAACTTTGTTATATTGGTACTTGATATATAAAATGAAAAAAGCATAATCTCCATTATTTTCAGGTGGGTCAGACTCAGCACTGGCTATAAATTTTACAAAATTTCAACAAATTACCTTTGAGCTTTATTTTAAACTTCATTATATTAAAAAGTATAAATTAGTTATCATTCTTTTAAAATTTTTAAATGTATTTTTGGCTGTGCTGGGTCTCCACTGCTGTGAGGGGTTCTCTCTAGTTGCACTGTGTTGGCTTTTCATTGCAGGGGCCTCTCTTCTTGTGGGGCCAGGCTCAAGAGTGTGTGGCCTTGGGAGTTGCAACTCCTGTGCTCCAGAGCACAAGCTCAGTACTAGTGGTGAATGGGTTTAGTTGCTCCGTGGCAAGTGAGATCCTCCTGGACCAAGGATCAAACCAGTGTCTCCTGCACTGGCAGGCAGATTCTTTACCACTAAGCCACCAGGGAAGCCCTGTGAATTATTCTTGAGTTGTTCATTTATCTTTATAGCTGGGAAAGTTCCTCTTCCACTGGTTGGACAGCTCTGGGGGCTCTCTTGGAAGAGTGTGGGAGGCAGAGGACAAGAGCTGGATCAGAAGAGAGAACTGTGCTGAATTCAGCCTAACAGCTGTCACTGTCAGGCTACCTTCACATCCTATTTTATTTTCTCAACTAGAAGGCAAGGTCTAGAATAGAAAAATGCATTTCTCACTGATTTTAAGATCTTTTTTCTTTTTGATGTGGACCATTTTTAAAGCCTTTAGTCAATTTGTTATAGCATGGCTTCTGTTGTTTACCTTCTGGCTTTTTGGCCATGGGGCATGTGGGATCCCAACTCCCTGACCAGGGGTAGAAACTGCACCCCCTGTATTGGGAGGTGAAGTCTTAGCCCCTGGACCAGCAGGGAAGTCCCCTGAACGATCCTGTTTTGCTTTTTAGAGAAACGAGTTTGGTAGCTTAATCGTGGTCCTGGTTAGGATCACAACGGGAAAGGAGAACCATCCTGCGCACTTTCTA